TTTTAGACTTTCTGCCGCTAAGTTGCAACCAGTGTATCTCCTTGACCTTGTCTCTGATGCTTTTTTGAGCTTTTGTTTCCTTCATTGGTAAAGCCTGATTCACAAGAGTATGAAGTATGATTTACAAGAGTAAAAAAGCGTAAGACTGGCTGCCAGGGTCTGGGGGAGACGGGGAGGGGGGTGGTCGGAGGGCATGAGCTTCCAGTTGTAAGAGGTCTATGTTGTGCCCGCCTCACGGTCCACGTAGATTATAGCTCCTAATACTGTGGTATATACTTGAACTCTGCAGAGAGCAGATGCTTGGTGTCCTCACCGCACACACAGGGGGCGATCACGACTGCAGGTGGCAGCTGGGCTCATGAACGAGACTGGGGAGCTCATTTCACGATGGACACGTGCATTGAATCGTCACGCTGTCCTCCGTCAACGCATACAATTTGATGTGTCACTTCTACCCCAAGAAAGCTGGGAAATAAATGCTTAAATTTTTTTTAATGTTTATTTATTTGTGAGAGAGAGACCGAGCATGAGCAGGGGAGGGGCAGAGAGAGGGGGAGACACAGAATCGGAAGCAGGCTCCGGGCTCTGAGCTGTTGGTACAGAGCCCGATGCGGGGGTTGAACTCACAAACTGTGAGATCATGACCTGAGCCGAAGTCGGACGCTCAACCGGCTGAGCCCCCCCCAGGCGCCCTTGGGCGATAGATGTTCACAAGCTCCCCAAAAGGCCAGCACTTGGCCGGGGGGACCCAGAAGGGGCACAGCGAAAAGCAGAGCTCGGTTTCCCTTTCTCAAGGAGGATGTCGTGGGCAGGGAGTGTGTGTCCACTTTCTCATCTGCGAAACAAGACAATCCCAGTGGACACCCAATCACGTCCCCCCCACCCCAGTCCTAATCGTTTTCCAAAGCTCGGGGGTTATCAAAGTGCCAGTGTCCGATTTCTGTAGCCATTAATCTTAAAGCCTATTTGGGATTGCGTTGCCTCCGGGGACAGCCTTTCAATATGGGAGATAAAAGTATGTTGCCTACTCTTCTCAGAGATTATTTTGGGGCTGCTAGTAACACACCCTGGGAATAAATGTCATAAACGAGAGAGGGGAGCAACCCAGGCCGGCAGGCTCACACCTAGTCTCTAACCGTCCTAGCCTCTACCTCAGGGCGTCAATATGGTTGCAGCAGCTCTGGGCAGCACATCGACATTCCCAGCTGCAGAACGAAGGGTATTCCTCCCAGCTGAGTCAGCCCTTGTGAAGGAAATTCTGCAGAATTCCTAACCCCAGCCTCCGCCGATCACCCCCCACCCCCCCATCCACAGAAGGGGTGCTTGTGCGGCTCAGGTGGCTGGGAATCTGGATTTCGGCTCAGGTCATGAGCTCACACGTGGTGAGTTCGAACCCCGTGTTGGGCTCTGTGCTGACTGTGGAGCCTGCTTGGGATACTCTGCTTCTTGTCTCCCTCTCTCTCTTCCCCTCCCCTGCTCTCTCTCTCTCTCTCTCTCTCTCTCTCTCTCTCTGTCTCAAAAATAAATAAACTTAAAAAGTAGCTTAAAAAGAAGGAACAACTCTGGGAACTGAGAAATTGGGCTTTCGAGTGGGCGCTTACTTGCCCCGGGGAAATTCAGGGTTAATCTCGTCAGCCTATAGGGTGGCCCATCTTTACGGACGTGACCAGGGTGTTCGAAACATCATTTCATTGCCCAATTACTGATTCAGCAAATGTAGAGTTTCCAGGTGGCTTCTGAACATCTGAAATTTCTGCAAGAACCC